GTCCCCGGCAGCGCAGCCCCTCCTGCGGAGGCACAACTGCGGCGCTCAGCACAAAGGGCAGCTGCCAAACGCTTCGGAATGGTTCACCTTTTGGCTAGCCACAAACTGCGACAGCACCGTGACCTCAGAGGCCGCGGCACAGGACACAGCCCCCCCTTCAGCCGTAACAGCCGCGTCACGAGCAGACCTGCGGACGCTGCTGGCAGGACAGGGGGGAGCCGACCCGGTTGCTCACCGTGCCCCACAGCCCTTCACCCCCACTGACCCCCTAACCCAGCGCAGCACGAGAGTCAGAAAAACAAGCTTGAAACAAGACAGCGTCATCTCACGTTTGAGGTCTGAGCTTTCACAAACAGCTCGAGACAGAGAAGGAGAGAGCAAGGCCGTGCTGAGGGCGGGGAGCTCTGCTCGGGATTCCCACGTGCTACAACCACATCCTCTCCGCGGCCAAACGGGCACCACCCAGCTGGCCGCTACGCACGGCACAACTGGTGCCCTGACTGGTCAGCTTTCAAAAGTAGAGGCTGTTCAACAGGAACAAAAACCTCGGAAAAAACCAACAAACCCAAAGAAAAGCCGCAACCACCTTCTACCCAGAAAGCGCTACACCACCGCCCTGCTACGAAATGGGCACCAGTCACTTTGCTCCAATACTCTCGCAGCTCTAAATTCGGAGGGGGAAGGAGACGACAACTGGGACTGAAGCAAATAAATTCAGAGCGGAGGCTGACGGGGAAGGACAGCAGAACCCAAGCACTCAGCGTTTCGCACGACAAAGCTCGGGCACGGAAATGAATTGAGTGTTCTCACTCGCAAAACCTGCGTCGACACTATGATGCTATTTTCAACTTCACTTCCTGTGGGCTTTGTCTTTAGATTCAAAAGCTTCTCAGAGCACAAGAAATATAATGCAAGAAGCAAGTCTGTAACGAGCGGTGACTGCAGCCCGTGCAGGGCTTAGAGTATCTTGGGAAAAAGACCTAAAAGATCTTTCAAAGCCTCGTAAGGCTCACAGCACAACCTCCCTTTCTAACAGGATCCCGTGTCTTCACAGGACACTTGGCACGAAGCTCTCCCCTGGCACTACACAAGCTGAGCGTTTGGTGCACCTATAAATTTTACCCTTTCAGAGCCAGTCGGAAGACTCACCTCTCAATAAGTCTGAGAGTGGAGGACCGCAATCCTCTGGAATTGTGTAGTCACCTTTCCCGATGTTTTCAAATAATTTATAGATATTATCCCCTTCAAAGGGGTACAGACCCGTTGTAATGTTGTATCTGTAAAGGAAAGGCAAAGGAGAAGCTGCATGAGAAAAAGCACACCAACAAGCGTTCCGTTCTGAGGCAACTACGCAAGCCAAAAGCAGCCTGGAGGAAACTAAAAGACGAATATTTGACAGTATTTGGAATGCCTCTTTAAACCCAGCCTTCCTTTATCACAGCCTCTTCATTCACATGAGTCAAAACCACCAAGACATCTCCCTGACAGGCTGGGATGGAAGAAACTTAAAAATAAATACGAGATATTTGTGGTTTCTATTATTACAGTAGCAGTGCGTCTCAGCTGCTGAGAAATGGCTCGCAGAGTTACTCACCAAGAGTCAAGATTACTTTCCTCAGAATTACAAGTACTTTGGGGAACACAAACCCATCCAAAGAAGGGCCAATGCGCATGCACCCTCCCTGCTTCCCCCAACAACATGCAGAGGAGCAGCGATGCCAGCAGACAGCAAAGACCGAACTATCTGGGGGCTGGAATTCCGTACTGCCGCTCCTGGACGCTGCACGGGCACTTACAGCGTGACCCCCGCGGACCAGATGTCTACTTTAAAGCCTGAAAAGGTGTCAAGGCCATTGGCAATTTCTGGCGGCTGGAATGCTGGCGACCCTTGGCTCGTTCTGCACGTGTCGTCCTCTGCGAACGGATGCAACGCCTGCAGCAGGAGAGACTGGTTAGCTTCAAACTCCCAAGGCAAACAGATCGGGCCGGTTTCAAGAGTTTCACCTGGGAAACAAGGGGGGAAACTCCGCCACTGAACACCTACTTGCACGTCGTGAGAACGTGCCACCACAGCAACTCCACGCCAACAGGGACAGTTCTTGCACCCCTCCTACCTAGCTAAGGCGCACAGCAAGGGCAAGGCCACGCAGCCTATTGCCGTTTCACCCCCCCGTTGGGTCTGTCTCAGATCGATGCCTTCCTCCGCACGCTTCCCGGGTGGGAGTTTTGGGCTGTGACCAACAACAGTGTTTCGCCAGTTGCAATAAATATTCCGAGTCACTCACAGCACTCCGAGTTTAACAGAGCCAAAGCCTAAATGCACAATAAATCAATGGGCACCACAAAGGTGACCTAAATCCAGAATGTCACACTTCCCACGTTCGTGCCTTTGCTGCACTTCCCACATACCTCTGCTACGCCTAAATCGGATATTTTTAGCGTCCCGTTGGTTGTTAGCAGGAGGTTCCCCGGTTTGATATCCTTGTGGACAATCCCTTGGCTGTGCAAGTATTCCAAGCCGTCTATAAGCTGACAAAAGTACCTGCAGGAAGAGTTAAGAGGAAAAAGTCAAGCACTTCCACAGACTAAGGCTATGTGAACCACCGACGATGCGTTAAGCAGAGTGCTGTTACTGGAAAGAACTCAAACGCATTTACATTCGATGAGGAACTGGAGCCTGAGCTGTGGTGTGTCAGAAACGGCACTTCATCTCCCGACAAGGTCAGAAGTTACCTGCCAGAGCTCTGCAGCAGTTGCCAGCCACTTCAGACCCTGGGCTCCTCCACACCAAAGCCCTCTTCACCAGCCCATGTATTTCGTAAGTGCCAAGCACCACGCTGGCGCGGACCTGATAGTTAATTCCGACACCTGCTTTAGTGCAGGCCAAGTCAAGCCAGAGGAGACGCTCCTTCAGTGGCACAGCTCGCTCTAACGCGGCAGGGGTGGGGGGAAGAAGTTTCCTTTCGCCAGCAGAAAGGAACGTTTTGCTGTCCTTACGGCCAGAGACACGGGCCGTCACTCTAACGTAACAAGCATTGTGCACTGACAGCCTGGCAGCGGTCGGGCGTGCAAGTTTTTTATCTCCTAATATCCAGCAATAATACGCGATTTAATGTGCCTGTGCTTCGCTTGGGCCGTCTGTAATCTCAGAGACTTTTTTTAAACAAAACGAAAATATGACCGTAAAATTGTGTAGTTACCACAGATTTGCTGGTCTGCACTGGTTTGCTATACACGACAACCTTTTTGCAGCTATTTTCGGAATTCTAAGGTTCCTTTACTTGCAGAGTGAAAGGGGCTTCAGCTTATCCTGTCTGCTAACTAAACAAGCTAACGGATCATGCTGGATAGTGCCAATCCCTAATCCACCCAAAGACCTTTAATCTCCTCTCCGACACGGACCTGCACGGCTCTCCTCTGTTCAGGCAGGGCCAGTCCTCAACAGATCCCCCCATTGCACCCCCCTCGCTGCACAGCGGAGCTGGAGGAAAGGGGCCCGGAAGGGCTGTTGTGCATCTCATGAAGCAAAACAAAAGTGACAGAAAATTCAATAGAAAGGGTTTTTTTTTGCCCCCCAGAATCTAAGGCCTCCCCTTGCCACCACTTCGTTAGCTTTTCACTTTTCCCATGGACGTAAGAGACGTCATGACACAGTTCTAGTTTACAGCCAGCAGTCTGAGCAGAGTAGAACGTGCTCTTGAATTCCACACAGCGCAGTGGGGAGCGGCTAACGCAGGCTAAGGAACAAAACTACTTACCCGTGAGCCTGAAAAACTGGAAACCTCTTCTCTGGGACACTGTCCAGCATCTCCTGCATCCCACACACACAGTACTCCATCACCATATACGTGAAGGCAGAGTTAAGGAAGCTGCAAGGTTAAACACTTCCCAGGCAAGCGCCGCGAGGACTGCGGCTCCGCACCCGCTGGCGGGGAGAGCTGGGCCGTGCTGCACCTCCCGGGGCAGCGACCTCCCTCCAGCCGCCCGACAGGAGGTGGCAAAGAACCCCCGAGAAAATTCTTCTGCTTAATGACGCGATCGGACCCGAGGCAGGGCGTGAACTCGGCAGAAGTTAAACTGGAGCTGTCGCAAGCACGACAGAAACAGGGTAATGCTCTGAAGCGGCGACAAAGAGTCAGGAAAGCCCTGGCAGAAGAGCTGCAGGCTGCAGCGTGTGCTGCCAACGCCCCGGCTGTTCCGCACTCGACATAACAGCGAGCTCCCGTCACCTGCCCAGCGCTTGTTGCTCTATTCCCTGTCTCAAAGCGAGGGCTGTACGTGCTATTTCACAGCTGCTGCTTACCCCATCCCCATGGTGGTGTTCCAGCAGAAGAAAGGACCCCTGGAGAGCTGGGGAGCTTTACTGAAACCGCACCAATAAAAGAAGTTACAGCAGAATGCCAAGAACTGGTGGCACTTTAGCGCTTGCTCCCTTGCAGTATATTCCCATTTTCACCTCCTTAAGCTTTAATGGTGGGGCCAAACGAAACCACACAACTGGCTAAAGCAGCGACTGCCTCGGTCTTCCTCCTCTCCTGGGGCTCTCCAAGGCAGACCGTGTGCTGCGAGGGGCTCGCAGGAACAGACCCTGAGACATCTGGTGGCTTGGCCAAGGGAGTGCACCTTCGAATCCAGAGCAGAGAACAGCGGGACTGTCAGGCAGCCCACGCTCTCCAGCAACACAAAGCCTTTCTCTGGTCACTCTAATCATTCCTGGCAGACGCCTTCTTAACCTAAGCCCAAATTAAGTTGCTTATGTCCCAGGATGCCATCTTAACTCCTGAGGCAGGAGAGGCTAAAGAGCTGACCTGTGCTCTAAGTGGGATCTGCGCAAAAGTCTGCGTTGCCCCTTTTGCAGCACGTTCTCTCCAGGAGCTCAAAACATGGTGCAAACTCCCTAAATCTGTGCTACGTTCCCACACGAGCTGCTCTTCAGAGGGACGCTGAAGTACTAGGAGATTTTACGATGGGCACAATGCCACCCAGGAAAATCAGCAGAAGCAAGAATAGCAGAAAGAGCTCCCAAAATTCTTTCCTACCATTTCTTACTCTGGAAGAAATCTGCGAACTACTGCTAGCACAGTGACGTGGAAGACATCAACTCTCCCACCTTCAAGAGAACAATACTGACAGCAGATAATACAGACCAGCTCCTGGGAAGCAAGGCCCAGCTCTTTCTTGTCTACAAAGGCCAGCCTGGGTTTGGTTTCATTAGCTGCCAGACTGTTTTTCACCCCTTCTTTTGTAACGGATCCACCTCTGGCTGATCAGCCAGATTAGTGCACAAACCTTCAGGCTGGAGCAGATCTGTTACAGGTGCCCCCAAAAGACTGAGGCTCTCAATTCTTCTAATCAATAGGGTTCTGCTCCCACGCACAACTGCACACCCTGGAAACAGAAGCTGTTGGAGAGGGTGCCAGCTGGGACGCTGCTTATTGAACTGGGTTTATTTTCTGCCCGGATTAGTTCTCCATTCATCACCAGCTCCGCATTCCCAGCCACAGCAGGTCATCAAAGCAGCCCATTACAGACTAAAGGTAGTTGATATTTTTAATCCAGTCATCACAGTTTCCCCTTTACCAAAGGGAATCTCCGACGGCTTCGGCTGGGCAGGAAGCGGCCAAGACGCTGCTTTCCCAAGGATCACCACGGCCAAGCCTGCAGGCCACGTCCAGCAGCACACAACACGCAGGTGAGGACCCAATCCTGCCTTTCCTACGGGCCCAATTTCAAATGCCACAATGGTCATTCTGGAAATGAGGATTTGTACTTTTTTTTTCCCCCATCAGTACGGGGGAAGCTGACCTCCCTCCCCCACACCCCACTCAGTTTTCACCTTGCGTTGCTCCTGCAAGGCACTAACACGGGCACTTGTGTGACTCCACAGCGAAGTGAGGAAGGGAACTGATCTACAGCGGAGCCAGCCCAAAAGGGAAAGCTACTTTGCAGCTGGATCTATTCCCAAACCCGTTGGCCGTGCGGCCGCACGAGCGTTCGTACCGCCGCAGCCTTGGACGGGCTGCGCAGGCACCAGCAGTGCCAGCGAGAACCTGGAGCGAGGCTAAGCAGGAACACGACCGTGGATGAGCTCCTGCTCCCAGCCCCAGCCAAAACCACCAATTTCTCCAGTCATTGCCGCTCACGCGCGCGGAACAAGCGCTCACAAACCAGCTTTCTAAAAGTGGAGAAGCCGATGAAGATAAAACCAGTGAAGTCAACCTCTACTTGCACGGGGAAAGCACTGAAAAACAGTGTGTTCCTTTTCAAATGCTCCTGTTCAGAAAGGAAAGCAAGAACACCCTTGCCGGCCTCGAGCCGCCCCGTTTCCGAAGGACCGTTTCGGGTTGTCATCGCCTGGTACCAACACACGAGGTCTCTCTCGGGCTCTTTTTCCCCGCGCTTCTCCTCTAGCAGCCCAGCTCCCAGTCACTAAATGGTGCCTTGCTACAGGCAGCACGGGAACGGCAGTCCCTTGGGCCTGTTAAGGCTACAAAACACAAGCAAAAGTTGTCACGCTTTTTTATACTAATGATTTGGCGGCAGAGTGTTTAATCTAATTAAAGCATACAATTAAATTACCCATTTTCTGAAGTACTGTAATTGGAAGACAGTATTCAGAAAACACTGTCAAAAATAAAAGCAACCATTTATAACACGTACTGCAACAGACCAGCTCAATAAACCCACAAACTGGTTCCAGTCAGAGTGTGCACTCAGCGTGGCAGACGCATCAGAAATCTGGCTACTCCCCAGGCGAAGGCCTGCAATTGCACTGGGTGATGCCTGCGCGAACTTGGGGGACACCGTGCGCCGGCACAACACGTTAGAGCCCCAAAGGTGCACCGAGATCACAAGCCACAGCTTTGATCCAAGAGCTGAACAGTTTAGTCCCAAAAAGCTGGGCTGTGGGTCTCGCAGGAACAAGACGCTTCTGATCTGTCCCGACCGTGACAAGGTTTGGGTCGCCGCAAGCGCCGACACAAGGGACATTCACACAAACGCCAAAACAGAGGAGGCCTGGGCAGGCTCGGGCGTTCACCTGGGCTCAATAAGGACAGCCAGCAGCAGAGCACACCCCCGCCCCCAGAAGCGGCCGCGCCGCAGCAGTACAGACCCTCCAAGGGGACGGAGAGCGCTGCAGCCATCCGGACGCCAGCCAACAAATAGGGGTTTTTTCTTCTTTTGAGGGAAAGAAAAAAAAAATACCTAAACCACTGCCAAGGACTTAAAGGAAACAGCATTACAAAAATTGATTTCACACAGCACAGACAATAAAAGGTCCATCTTCGGGGGAGAAAAAAAAAAAAAAAGCACTAACATACTCCCCAGCCAGGACAGGAGGTTAGAAATGACAGAGCCACTGCTCTGCTTCCGTCTCCGAGTGGCTGAAGGTCACACAATAAAACTCAGTATTTAAGGGTCAGTTCTCCCCTGCCCCAGCCCTGCATCTGTAACCTGGGGACAATATTTAATTTTCTAACTGGGAGCTAGGAAACTTAAAAATGGACTCGTGTGGAAAGTATTCCAGACATGCAGCATGCTAAATACCAGGGAAAGCAATTTTAAGCTTAAGAAACATTCAAAAGGGCCTTAACAAAAGCAGAACTCTAACGACTCAGCTCTATAGCAGAGAACAATGGGAATTCAAACCTTATTAATAACTGGCTGAAAAAGGATATATTTTCTGCTTCTCTTCATTATATAATACATCTACCAACTGGATAACATTTTTGTGCCGTAATCGCCGCAGGAGCTGAATTTCCCTGCAGAAAGAGAAAAGGAAAAGAGTTACATTTAAAAAGCTTATTTCCTTACTTAAATGTTTTATAAATCACATGGATTTTAAAGACACTTCAAACCGTATCAGTCCCAGGTGCTTCACCTATGCACGCTGCTTGACAGAAGGTCCTGTGTGTTCCAAGGTCAGACCATGGAAACCCTTCCCGGTCACTGACCAGGACTGCAACAAGTACCCTTTCAGCTAACACTCACAGTCAGTCTTCTCCGGGCAGGAGTCTGTCCCCTGCTAAAGGACAGCAGAACTACCCTCAAGGAGCGACCTACCTTTGATGACATGGTCATACGAACGCCCTGTGCGGACGCCTCGGTGCCCTCCGACACAGGCCGCGTTTCTGCTGCTAACGTAAAGGTTTATTCTGCACTCCAGTGTAAGCTTCATTCTGGTTTGACCCCTAAACTCCGCGCAGTGCTCCCCTTTAGCGATCTGGCTGGTCCCCAGGAGGACGCTGCCAGCCCCACCCAACGCGAGCAGGAACAGGGCAATGGCAAGCTCGGCCAGGAGGGCGTCGTGCTGAGCCGACGCGGAGAAAACCGCTCCTGGCGAGACCCTGCTGGACCTCCGGCTGGGCGGCAGGAGAAAGCAACCTGAGGACACGCTCTGCAAACCATCGGTCTCTTCAGTGAAAGCCCTAAAGACGCCCCACGTTTGCGTTTCCCATAATATCTAGGACAGTCACTTCCACGACAAACCTTTCGTGTTTGCACTTCGTGCTTCTTTACACGCAAGTGTCATCTGCAGTTACAAGAGCAGAAATAAATTCGCTTGGGCTTCCAGCCCTCATCCTTCAGGGTACGTTTTTAATCAGCATCGTGACCAGGAACAACCCCCGCAGACGTCAGGGTACGGCAGCATCGTGCAGTTAGGTGTGCTCCCGTTGTCACCGGCAGCAGTGCCCGGTGCCAAATGCGGCAGAGCAGCCAACACGCTGGATAGCCCATTTCAGCACAAATCCTGTTATTTAGCTGGGGAACAACCTTAATATTAGTTACTTGCCAAAAAAAGAAAGAAACAAGAAGTTTCCATCCCTAACAAGGAACTCCTTCTGACAGTTGCTGTACTGTGAATGGACAGAAGTCATTTAAACCTAAACACACCAGAAACCGGCTAAAGACATGAACAAGTGAAACTAAATTGATTTTTTTTTTTTTAATTATACCACACGAAATTCAGCTGAAGAGGGGCTGTTCAGCAGAACATGATTTTCTACAGAACACACGAACTACAGAAAAGCCAGGAGAGGTACCTCGCTAGCCAAAAGGGACAAGCCCATCACGGCAGCACCACACCTCTGGTCTGCACCCGCGG